GCCGAATGTTGTTCGGCTCACTTCACTTCGGCTGGGTTATTCACTCGGCTGCCTTCAGCAGCTTTGTGACTAACCCCCTAAGTGTTCATGCATTCATCAGTCGACAGTTAGACAAATTGTCTATAAATGGAGACAGTTAAGTACTGTAGCTACACTTCCTAGACGTGAGTGCCCAGCTAAGATGACTCCCAAAAACTTTTTTAAAAATAGATTTCTTTTAATTTGAAAGAATAAGAACCATAAGATGCCAACAGCACCAATATTAAGGGCAAAATATATATTAAACAGGTTTGGTTTAGTTAATGTTATTTACACTGAGCACACTCTCCATCATAGACATCCACTAGAGCAGGGGTGTCAAACTCAATTTAATTGTCGGCCGCATCAACATTATGGTTGCCCTCAAAGGTATCTGTAAGACTATATAAATGTATCTAATCTTTATCATAATTGCCTCTGCATTCAATTATCACTGGTTTTAGTAATAACTTAATACCTTGATCTGAAAGTAGAAGTCTAGGAAATGGCCTGGTGGGCCGGATTCGGGCCCTGGGCCTTGAGTTTGACACGTGCACTAGAGGGAGAAGCCATCTATTTGCACTGGAGATGTAAATGTGGAACAGCAAACATGTCACATTTAAGGTGGAGGTCAGTACAATGAGATGCCCATAGCAGGAAAAATCACACAATCGCAGTCTCAGCGGTATAATTGGCGCCGCTTACAATGACACGCGGCAGCTGTTGCAGCACCCTGTAGCCGCCATTTGTTGTGTATACATAACCCCATGACAATGCACGGCGTATAAATTACCCAGTAATGCCCACGTGTGACAGGTGAAGTGTCCCTGCTATTTCTGCCCCGAGTACGGAGACATCTGTGTACAGTACGAGGCACTCAGCTTGGTCAGATGGCTGAAAATCTTCCTCATTCGTATTTGGGGGCAGTGACATCTGTAAGAGAAGCTGGGGGTCTCCACCACATGGGCGGCCATTGCTGAGCCTTTAAGTAACTTGATATATATGAAAACAAAGGAATATGGCTAATACCAGCTGTACAGCATTTGTCACTGTGCACAGCAGGACGTCATTTATCTCCTGGCCACTCACCATCAAAGTTGGACAACATCTGGGGTGAAGGCGAGATCAATAGACGGCGGCCCACAGAAGTGGTTAAAACAAGAACACGCCCCACATGATCCTCCTAGGCTGGTCATTGGCAACACCTGGCCCAAGGACTAGAGATTCCATCCAACTATAGTCCAGAAAACCTGGAAAAAAACTGAAAAGCCAGCTTCTTCGATGCAAAAGTATTCACATCCAGGAACCTCTTAGCTCCTCTAACTGAGGGTTGTGGGTGTCTGTGTTGCCAAATTACATTGTGGCATTGCCATGCACTTTTACAGTAACATATCTCTTGTTCTCTACACTAGTTGTAATTCTCAGTACAGCTTTATTTGGGTCCCCTAGACAAAATAAGCACTTAAAGTGATTTTAAAATTAGAAGATTTTTAAGCTGTTTTAAATGCTGATGAAATAACATACAATGAATGCTGCTTCTTGAAGCTTAAAAATTTTAGCCTTCTGCAGAATCAGCTGGCCCCTGAGCACTAGTCCTGATATCCTGTTTGTGGGTGGTTCCTTTCCCTTGCAGGGTCCTGTGGAGTCACTCTTGTGTGTGCTAGTAAGCTGTGTGTGTCTCCACTAACACACAGGGTTATTCACAAAAGGGTGGAGAATTTGGAGAAGGCAGGAGAAGTGAACAATCTAGGACAAAATAGCTGAACTGGAAAGTGAGCGGAATCCAGTTTAGCTATGTTGTCCTAGATTGTTCACTTCTCCTGCCTTCTCCAAATTCTCCACCCTTTTGTGAATAACACTGACAGACACAGCAGGGCAATCCACTCTCCTGCTCTCCACATGGCTTGCCTTTCACATAGCTTGATAAATGTGGGAAAGCTGTGCTGACTTCAAACATACAATCACAGCAAGGCAAGCCACTTCCCTCATTCCTGCTCCCCTCTCCTCACCTCTTCCAGGCTAGTAGATGAATAGTTGCTGGCAGTGGCGTAACCAGAGTTACGGGCGCCCCACAACCATTATATCACTACTTCATCCATACTGCTGTCCCTCTGGTTCGAATGATAATTCAATAGAATACACAATACATTATATAATAATGGAGAATGGCAACTGGCTATAGAGGACTACAAATCCCAGCAATGCATTATACAGCAATAGAGAATCCCCACCGGCTATGGAGGACTACAAATCCCAGCAATACATTATACAGTAATGGAGAATGGCATCCGGCTACAGAGGACTACAAATCACAGCAATACATTATACAGTAATGCAGAATAATATAAAGCTACATACTCTATGTTGCTCTGGGTTTGCCGTCTCATGTCTCCAGGGTCTCAGGAGGGTTGTGCAGGCTTTCAGGAGGTTGTGCGGGCTCTCAGGTGGCCAGTGTGGGCTCTCAGGTGGGCTGTGAGGGCTCTCACCAGGGGTCCAGAGAGTCTCACAGATGCGTGTGGGTGCAGTAGAGGTGGCTCCCTAATTAGGCTCTCAGGTGGCCAATGAGGACTGTCAGGTGGTCAGTGGCTCTCAGCTGGTCAGTGCGGGTATCTGTGGTGGCCAGTGCGGGCTCCCTGATAATTAGTGGGAGCTCTGTGGTAGCTCCCAGGTGGGTAGTGGGGGCTCCCTAGTGGTTAGTGGAGGCTCCCTGGTGGCCAGTGGAGGATCCTTGTTGGTTAGTGTGGCTCCCTGGTGGCCAGTGGAGTCTCCCTGGTAGATAGTGAGGGCTTCCTGTGTAAGGTGACCATTTGTCCCCAATTTCCGTGGACAATCCCCAGATTTAAGACACCGTCCCCGGACAAATTATGTCCCCAGGAACATAAAATAAATGTTTTTTTTTAACCACTTGCTGTCCGGAGCAGTTTCTTACTATTTGCGCACACATATTAAAATATACATTGTTGGCTAGAAAACAGTTTCAGACCCCCAAACAATGATATATTTTCTGAAAGGAAAGGCCATGTAGAATAAAAAAATGCTAGTTGCAATGTTTTATGTTGCGCGTTTTTTGCGCAAATGTTTATCAAACCAGTATTTTTAGGAAAAATGGAACTAAATTAAAATTTAGTGCACAGAAAAATAATATAATACCCATTTTTTTGGTAAAATATGAAAGACGGGGTCAGGTCGGGTAAATAGTTACCAAACATGTCAAGCCTTAAAATTGCGTTCGCCCGTGAAGCTCCAAAAAAAGACAATACCCAAAATGTCCCACAGGGAACATTTTAAACGATTTTACCGCTCATTAGTTTAGTGTTATCAGTGATTGATGGCTCTAGAATGATTGCTCTCACTCCGACGTTCGTGGCGATATGTAACATGTGTAGCGCAATTGTCGTTTTCGCACGTAGGCTCTCCGACGCGTGTATATGTGGGGGGCGGGGGACTTTTTTTTAATGTTACTTTAATTTTTAAACACTTTTTTTTTTTTTTTTTAACACTAACCCTATTGCTATCACATAGGGGGATAACAAGCACCCTATGTAATAGCAGATAGGGTGTGATAGGTTCTCTTTATGGAGGCATCTTTCAGACCCCTAATGTCACCTAGGGACCAAAGAAGCTGAGGAAGCAGAGAAGAGCCGGAGACTGTGTACAGTGACACCGGAAGTAATGTAATACACATCACTTCCGGGTCCAGTGTTCGGAGGAGAGATCATTGCGGGGAGACCCACCGAGCTGCTCCCGGGCGCCGCATGGGGATATCGGTGCCCGGGTAAGCCAACAGCGAATGCGGCTGGGGGCTCCGCCCGGTACAAACGATCCGTCGGCTCTACAGACACCGGATTGCTTGTAAGTTAACAGAAATCGCCTGCTGTTAAAAGCGCTACCAAGAGCACGGCTGCTGAAGCATCCGTGTTCTTGTTTTAACCACTTCTGTGGGCTGCCGTCTATTGACCTATTGCGGCCCGGAAGTGGTTAATACTCACCTGATCCCTGGAACCACCGACAAGCGCAGACTCCCGTCTCTCGCGCTGTCAGAATATGTGTTGCAGAGCGTGTTGGTTACTATTTAAACCGGCACGCTGTATGTAGCTTCTGAGAAGATACGCTATTAGCATAGCGAGGAAGTCAGCGGCGCATTTTGCATAGCTCCCGCTATGCTAATAGTGTATCTTCTCAGAAGCTGCACACAGCGCGTCGGTTTAAATAGTAAACGGCACGCTCTGTATACATATTCTGACAGCGTGAGAGGCGGGACGCTGCGCTTGTCGGTGGATCGGATCAGGTAGAGAAGTCTGTATTCCTTGTGATCTTGTTCAGGTAAGTTGAACTGAGAGGATTGGAGCTGTTCAGAAACTTGATGATTGCAAGTACTTGGGCAAAGATGTAAAGCAATACTTTGCTGGGCATTGTATATTTGTTGGATATGGATTCATTACTTGGCTATGGAGAGTTCAATACAACTTTAACCCTTTTGTGTTCTTCTTTAACCTCTGGCTGCCATGGCTTGTGAGTTTGCAGCATAAAAAGCCAGCAATGGCCCTCTCCGTGTTTCTCTGAGGAAAGGCACCTTTAAGACAGTCCGGATTAAACCTGCTGCCAGCACAAATGTTACCATAATTGGTAGTGCTGGGAGACCTATAGTTCCATATCACTAAACTGCTAGAGAAAAGCAGGAAATGCCTGGAGAGGCCAAAATAATACCATCCTGACAAAGATACGCTTGTTTTATGTACATACAACAAAGGAAGAAAAAAACAGCAGCAGCAGCAGAAGAGTTTACAGCGATTGTAAGTGAACTCTGCTAACTGTCAGTTCTGACTCCCTCCTAACCTCCCATACAAGCATGCAGCTCACACACACCTCCACAACACTTCAGCTTGGCCAATCATAGCTCGTCTTTCACACAAAGCTATCATGTGACACTGTGATTCTTCCGCCGTGATTGGCTAGCACAACTCTCAGTCAGTCGGCGGGTGTGTGTTCAGCAGGGAAGTGCAGGGCAGAGTGTGAAGGCTGTCCCGGCTCGGAGAAGACATACAGCTGACTGGAGAAGAAGTGAAGAGACGGCTGGCAGCATGGAGCTGATCACCGAGCTCTCCGTGGAGTTCTCCCGCCTGTCTATGTTCCCTTTCTTCGATGGAGCTCATTACTTGGTGTCGGTCTTGTCAGCCAGGGAGCAGGCAGGTGAGAGCTCAGACATACACGCATGAGGCAGGTGTTGGGATTAGCTCAAAGGTACACGCTGCCTTTTGAGGAAAAAAATGAATGCACACACATTAAAAAAAAAGTTGCAATTATTATTTTGCATTGGAATCTGAAGAGCATTGCACCTGCAGTCATTGGATCATGGGTGGCATGCTCAGGCTCCTGCAGACTCTTCCTCCCCAGGCATGTACTAAGGTATATACCTAGAGTTATGGAGGTGGGGGAATTATTGATGGACAACAAGTGCTGGGATATCACTGCACTTGTACCCCCATTGAGATTCATGATAAGGATGTGTGGGGGACTTGGTGCTTCTGGTCCAAACAGTTGTGACAGGGGCATTACCTGCCCGTTTCTGTGTAGCTGTGGGGCGCTGCAAATGATCGGGCCGGGAGGGGGGTGTATTAATGACAGGTTTGCAAGGGCTTGGGCAAACCCCAGCGAATTGGGTTCACGCTAAGCTCCTGCACATCTTTAATCCATCTACCATGGTGGTAGATGTGACTTCTAGTCTTTATTTATTCACCAGTCCTATGAATTAGATCTGTGAATGAATGATGCAGCTGTGTGGACAGAGCCATGCACAGCAACACTGGATATTCAAATATACACAGGATGCTTAGCTATAGCTCGCGATATACTGAGCTTTGGGTCACGGGAGGACGCTAGTTTATGTCCTTCCGTGACCCTTAGGCTTCATTCACACACAACGCAAGCAAAATTGTATATTGCGTATATACGAGCGTATATGCGCGCACTATATGCAATCCCAGAATGCATCACTCGTAATGGAATTTTAATGTGCTGTACGTATGTACGCGCGTAAACACGTGTATGTGCGTGTAAATACGCAGAGATACGCTGCCCGGACGCATCTCTGTTCCATTCTGTTTTTGCGCATATATACGCTGCGCAAATATACGGCTCCATGCGCGGCTGTGTGTATGGAGCCATTTATTTGCATATGGTAAAATACGCACGTACGCGCGTATATGCGCGGCAGTGTGAATGAGGCCTTAAGAGAACTATGGGGAAAAACACTTACCCCATAATTCTCTTTACAATACAATATCTTCTTTAAAAGCGCAGGCTTCTTTTTACAGGTGACTCTGTGGTGTGGGTCCTAGATCACAATTTTGCCAAGTAAGACAATTAGCTGTTTATCAACAGTGCACAAAGCTGTTTGTTGGAAATCCGCTTTAAAGTTTCAAAACAGTTGTCAGACATTGCTGTTTGCCTGGCTGATATGCTTACCCTCCGGCTTAAGTCACTGATCAAGATGTCAACAAGTATGCAGTAATTGCAGAATAAAGCCGAAAAAGGTTACCTTGGACATCCAAGTACATGTTCCTTGGCAATCATACATTGAACAGGTTTATGCAATTCTCTGCTTCTAGACTACGGTTTGAGGTGTAGGGGTGGTTTCTTACATTTAATTTTATTCAACCTTTAATAAAGAGGGGTTGGTATCTCTATTGTGTGGCTGTGATATTTCCACATACCCTGCCCTATTCACACCTTGTCTGCATGTCTGTCTTGTCTTTTTGTTTGCCACCATCTGTTGTGTTTTTTTTTTTTTTTTAATGTCCATTCAAGAGTTATTTTACTTTTATTGAAGAAAAAAAATCAATCCCTTCTGGTTGATCTGTGTACATTGCAACAAAGTTGGTAAAAATCCTTGTAGTTTCCTACCTGTTTCTGTTTTGAAGAAAAAGCTGTTTGTTGCAGCATGTCCTTTCCAAACTGAGGGAGGGTCTGGGTTCATTATTCAACTGGTGGGCTTCCTGTGTTGTAATAGGGAAAGGTGCAGTGTCAGTGTCAAATATAGAATTCAATGAATGAATAAAAAAAATACATTGAAAATCTCTGTGTACAGAACCATATACCTGCAGCTGATCCAGAAGAAAGCAAAAAAAAACCCCATTATTAAACATAGTCCAGGCTGCTGCAACAGGGGAAAAATCCTTCCCAATCCCCTAAAACAATCAGATATTCCCTGGATCATACTAATAATCATACTAATTTGTACTTAAGTTCTAGTAGTCTATTGCTGGGCACACACCTTACAACCATCGCAAGACATCGTACGATTCTCGGCGGGTTTTCGAACATGTTCATAAGATAAAAGTTGTGCGACCTTACAGTAGGAGAGGTCGCACGCCTTCCACACACTCGTACGATTGCGGGATTTCCCACGATTATCGCATGATTATCGCAAGGTGTGTGGGCACCTTATCACAGGAGCGAGCTTGGAGTTGTGGCTGCTTTACAACACTCACACAGGGTCCATGGGGAACACAAGCAGCCACCCTCCAGAGTGAAGGACAGTGTCGGCACCAATTCAGAGATGATTTGAGGATCTACAGTGATACACAAACAAGATTACGGCTGCAGCTAACGATTATTTTCATAATCGATTTGTTGCCTGATTTTTCAATTGATCGATTGGTTGTTTAAAAAAAAAAAAAAGACTCTCTCCCCTCTCCCTTCTTATCGATTTAGTTGTTGCAGCCCTAGGGAGAAGGAGAGAATAAGATACAGTAATGTTAGTAGTTAAGGTTCTTGAATGTATTTTTAAGATTTATCTCCTGAGTTTAGTGTCACTTTAAAGTCCCTTTCACACGGCTGTCCCGATTGCTTCGCCCTGTCAGTTTTTCAGGAGGACTCAACCGGATGCCCAATGCAAAGTCTATGGACTTGCGTCTGGTTACCCAGGTCGGGCAAAACAGACGGATCGGAGATCCGTGTCGGACCGGATCATGGCAAATTGGGGGTAATCTGATGTAAATGGACACATGGATAATGTGAAACCTCGCGCCACTACTCCAATCAAGTTAAGCAGCAGCTGAAATCTGTGTGGTCAGATATATAGTATAAAATTAATAATAACTGTGCTGTGTGAATTAATCTACAAAGTATCAGATATAATAGATACTGGTCATGAAACAATGTGATACAATGTGAAAAGAGTAACAATAGAAGAAGAGTTATACACATGCTTTTCTTCTATTGTTACTCATTTCACATTGTATCACATTGTTTCACAGCCAGTAAATGGACACATGTCCGATTCCCCATAGACCCAACATGTGGTGCGGTAAGTGCAGTTTTTTCCTCCACCTGCAAGGGTTAAGTGCTTGTTTTGGTCCCATCGGTCTCTTCTCCATGGGGCACCGGAGTGGAGGAGGAGAGAGGTGAGCGATCACTGTCAGAGGAAGCCGCACTGCAAGGATTAATTTGAAAAAAAACCTGGAGTTCTTAAAATATATGCATTACATTGGCCTTACTCCAGTCCAAGCCAGCCATTTAAAGAGTCTCTGAAAATTAGAAACAATAGCTTCAATCTCTTTGTGCAATCTGGACTTCATTTTTGATTTCCTTTTTTACATCTTTTTCTTTATTCTTTAACTTTTTTTAACGTTGGACACAGACCACTTATGTTTTACTTTTTAAATGTGTTGCACTTTGGAATTTATTTTGCAGTGTGATTTGCATACAGTCAATTTGATACATTCTATTTCTGTTCTTGTAGATAATCCCTTTCAGTCTAAAGCTAGCCATACTTTTGATTTTAATATCACTTTATGGTGTATTTCCACTTTTGCAGCCAAATTGGGATAACACCTACTTGCATGTTCAGTTTCATGTTCCCATTCACATAACTTAAAAAATTGTTAAAAACGGCGGCTTACATTTTTATATGATCTTTGGTGAAATCTTCAAGACTGAAAAATCCTACATAGTTCTTCCTGTTTATGGGGGATCGGAGCAATTGCCAATTAACCCTGTCTGTACTGTGCTGGTAGATCTCCATTATCAATTGGTATTGGTGCATCCCTATAGTTTACAAGTACCGTACTCAGTGCAAGTACAGATACTTTTGAGCTCCAAGACTAAACTAGGGAAAATTAGGAGGCAGCTGTCATTTGTAAGGAGCTCCTGGGATTTGTGCATCCCTGTTTTAATGTTTGATTTGTTTTTATAAATGAAGGGATACACCGATACCATTTTTGCAAGTACTGATACTTGTCCAAGTACTCGCAGATACAAGAACTGATACATTTTTGTTTATTGTCATGTGACAGTTTTTTGAAAACAATACAGACTAATGATTTCAGGACAGTGGTGGAGCACCAGAGCCAGGACCCAGCTGCGACCTCTGCAACCCTGGTAGTTCTCATGAAAATGCCAAGTGTCCGCACTGGTATCTGAAAAGGTCCATCCCTAGTAAACTAGATAAGCAGGACTGTCTGTCCTAATTAAAGGGTAAAGGTCCCAAGCCATTTGTATGGTATTAAGGTGCCCATACACTGTACAATAATCGTGGGAAATCCCGCGATCGTGCGATAATCGTACAGTGTATGGAAGGCGTGCGACCGTTTCTACTGTACGGTCGTACGTCTTCCGTCGAACAAGCAGGCTGGAAAACCCGCCGAGAATCGTACTATTCTCGGCGGGTTAGAGGCCTGCTTGTTCGACAACTGCCGAATGGACCGGTGTGCGCACACGCACACTGCCCGTTCAGCATTGCAGTCATCCCCTCAGGGGGGCGCGCTTGCGATGATCGCAAGTACGATCTGCCTGTCCCAAGATGGTCAGATCGTACGTTTTTTAAATTACTTTACAACCCTCGCAAGACAAAAGTCTTGCGAGGGTTGTACAGTGTATGGCCACCTTTACACTTTAGATGTCCCTAGTCTGTACATTGCGAGCTATAGAAAATAAAGGACACTTGTCTGTAGTGTCCTATTTATAATCCTGCTCCAAAGAAACCGCTAAAAAAGGTAAAATATTTTTTTATATTGCTTTTCTTTATGCTGTATGAATGGGAGCACATAACAAATGTATAGTGACTGCAAAAGTGGAAATGCATTGTAAATACTCCTCCAACCTTTCCTCTAGCATAGCAGAATCGCTTTCTCATTCTGCATATTGAAGCATAAACCTTATTCCTCCCTGAGGTGAGTCAACGTAATGGA